AATGACTCCGGAAGCCAACTCCAAGTTTATAAAACTGCCATTATCCTAAGGACAGGGTAGGGGTAGTGGCAATGTAACGTAAATAGTCGTATTAGCTACCAGTATGCTAAACAGTCAAATATGTGATTCCATTTCGATCTCCGCTAGCCCAATAAAAATAAGTATTTCCATTTTAAAGATAAGAAAATTGAGGTATAGGGGGGTTAAGGCACTTGCCCAAGTAACGCCAAGGTTCTTACCCAGGACTGCCTCACACTAATACCTGCTAACGTGAGATTAAAAACTTAAAGGAGGTCTAAGTGGAAGTGGTGATACATTACCAAACCACCCCCTGTGAAAGAAGAAAGGTCAGGGAAGTTGGGGAAAACTCAAAAATGCCACGAGACACTCAAAAACCACAAGTGGTGGGCACCTGGGTGGCTCAGTGGGTTAAAGCCTCTGCCTTCGGCTCAGGTCATGATCCCAGGGTCCTGGGATCGAGTCCCGCATCGGGCTCTCTGCTCAGCAGGGAGCCTGCTTCCTCCTCTCTCTGCCTGCCTCTCTGCCTGCTTGTGATCTCTGTCAAAAAAAAAAAAAAAAAAAAAAAAAAAAAAAAAAAAAAAAAACCACAAGTGGTGACTCGCACGTCATACAGAGAGCAGTAGCATTTGGTTAAGTTCTAGTTACGGTTTTCTACAGCAATCACGGTAAGAAAAGCTATCCTTCACAATCAATAAATCTTTCATTTTGGGAAAAGCTGCCTCCAGCACTAGCTCCTTATTACCATTCTAGAACTGTGTCCTTGACGGTAACACCACTGCCTCTACCTGAACACCGATCACACCATCTGCTGTTTGAGCAGCAGCAACTCCTAACACCAGTAACAGGTACTACTACTTTAATACAACATCCCAATACTAGCAACCAAAACAACCAAACCGAAACAGCTGGTTTACGAAGCTCATCCACACACCCCGCCAACTATCCAGACACCCACCCAGCAAACCCTCCCATCAGTGAATCACTGTGTGCCGGGCACTGTGCTAGACCCTGACATTCTCCGCTTCATTTCAGAAGTTGTCCAAAGTGAAGTCCAGCGTTTCACCTCCCATAAGGAATCACACACACCACCAAATCACAGAGCTCATGCTGATTACGAAATGGGATTTAAGAAAATTACAAAGCACCGGTCACAAAATCATATGCATTTAGGGCAACAGTTCATAACCTTGGCTGTGTATTAGAGTCACCTGGGAACTGAAAAATAATGCCAATGCCTCATCCCAGATCAATTAAATCAGAATCTTCGAGTGGGGCTGAGCATGGCTCTATTTTATAAAGCTTCTCAGGTGATTCGAAAGCGCAGTCAGAGTTGAAAAACACCAAATTCAAGTATTTCTAGAGTGGTAGTGCTGGAAACCTCACAACCCACACATCTATTAGGCAGTAAAAGATCACAAAGACTCCCTTGCCCATCCACTGCACCTGCCATCTGGGCTGTATTAAAATGATACATCAATATAGTGCTCTCTTAAAATCAGGGTCCCATCATTACCTTGTTTATAGCAATGAAATACTAACCAAGAGAGTACCTGAGGTCATGGGCGCTCCCCTGCCCCCTCCCTCCCACACCCCCTGCCGAGACCCAGAGCTGAATGGCTCCAGCAGTGAGAGGGTGGATGAGGGGTCCTGTCTCCTGCAGTTGAGTGTTTGAGTGAGTGGAACAGGCAATGTCCAGGCAGGAAGCAGCCTCAGCTCAGTAACCTGACAAGAGGAAACCTTCACAGTTCAGGCATGATTATCAAACTCTTTGTGCTCTTAAAGGAGAGTAATTATAGGCATGTGAAAAAAGGGAAGCACTCCCTGAGGAACTCTTCCTCACATGCTTCCCAAGAGGCACCAGGGCCATTAAAAATTCCATGATGAAGAGGAAAAACAGCCTGGGAACAGCCAGGAGGCAATACAGCAAATTAATACACCAGCCCTCCTCGGGGAAAGCTGTGATAAAACAGGAAACACTTTTCTCTTCGCAAAATAAAATTATACCACTAATGATAACATAGTCACCACACACACACACACACACACACACACACACACACATATCATTCTAATGATAGGTGTGAAATTCCCAAGGCTGCCCAGACGCTTTGAAAGAAATCTTTTCCTACTACAAATAAAATGGAACAAGAAAAAGATAAAATTTCCATTCGAAACAGTTTTTAATACAGTCATTCACCTGCCTCTTCCCTGCCACCATGGCTCTTTAACAGTCCTCGTTAGACACCAGGCTTTGTTAAATGGTGTCCACTCTGCAAAGTTCCAACCATCCAGCTCTGAAACCATCTTATCCTTCGGCCACACCAGAGCTAGATGGCTCCTTCTCAACTGCCCCTTTGCTGGGCAGGGACCACCACCCCCACTCCCCAACTTCAAAGGAATAAGAGGATGCCCGGAGGGCTCAAGGTTTCATCATCCACATTTTCTAAAAATTGCTTAGAGGTCACTTGTGCTGACCATTTCCCACAGAGCCACGGTTGCCAAACTTTATTGACTGTGCTCCCCCATGAGTAAAACATGTGCACAAACACCCTTTATGTAGGTAATACATACACATAAAACAAAAATACATACTACGGATGTCTCTATGTACAATTTAAAACAAAAACCCATTTTTTAAGGATCAGACAATAAATGGAAATTTTAAAAAATGTCTTCTCCTACCCTGAAAGAATGCAACCCACTTTGCATCCACTGCCCTGGGAATGATATCTAAAAGGACAAAGATGAGCTAGAATTGTCCACAATCTCTCACCTTGTTTGAGTAATGGTCTAAAGCAATGAGCAGTATTTCCCTAGAGCTGACCACACTGGAAGCACAGCCTAGACTCCCTTACTCTTCCAAGCCTGGCCACAAGCACCGCCAGCAGAAGGAAGACAATGATGTGGATAATAAGGTACATAAAGAAACAGAAAGGGGCGCCTGGGTGGCTCAGTGGGTTAAAGCCTCGCCTTCGGCCTCAGGTCATGATCTCAGGGTCCTGGGATCAAGCCCCGCATTGGGCTCCCTGCTCAGTGGGGAACCTGCTTTCCCCTCTCTCTCTGCATACCTGTGATCTCTCTGTCAAATAAATAAATAAATAAAATCTAAAAAAATAAAAAATTTAAAGAAACAGAAAGCTGACACCCACTCCAGCCAGCATGAGGCTTTAGAAGCAACAGGGAACCTGATAAAAGCTCAGCACAGCACCACACAGCTCTAAGTAACAGAAGTAAAGGGAGGAGGGCAAAGAATCCACTTTCTACATCTGACAGGATATGGTGCTATTCATATAATCTTGCCGAAGAGCCATTATTTCACACGGGATTAAGACAAAAAGCTGGAGGACTGCTTTCTTACGCATTGAAATCTTGGGTCTTTCGAGACAGCCTGAGGATCACCACCTGTAAGAAAACCTCCCTGAGCCTCGGACTTAGAAGCCTCTCTTCTGGGCTTTGTATCATTCTGGTGCGCGTTTTTACACGCTGTCTCTCCACACTGTAACTGCTGATGTCCACGCCTGGCTTTCTCGAGAGAATGGAAGCCCCTGAGGGCAGGAGCTAAACAAAGAGCCTGGTGCACGGTACGGAGCCAGCAAGGAGCCAGCAAGGAGCCAGCAAGTGCCGAGTGAGTGAATGATGAACAAACTGCAAAGAGAAGGCCTTAGAGAAGTCATTTATTACTTTATTACTACTTCTCCAGTAGCAGCTCTGGCAGTTAGCTGTAGGTTAGGGGGCAGAATTTATTATTATAGCCCATAGTGGAAGTTCTCATTGGATCTGTGAAAGGATCACTTCTTGTGCCTGCACACCAACCTATGAACATATCCATTTAAGAATGAATTAAGAGAAAGGGGAAAAAAAACCCACATCAGAACTTTGGGAAGAAATCCTTTGTGCCACTAGAAATTATAAAAGTTCTGGGGTTCAGCCTATTAGCTCCTCTTTTGTGCAAAATAACCTTGCACAACCTTGGGATACTACCATTAAAACCGTGTTTACTTCCCATGTCACCTAATTCCAGAGAATTTCTGCTGAAAAACGCAGGATTCATTCTGACAAATATATACTGAATGTCTAGTAAGTGCCAGACACTATGTTAGGTGCTGGGGATGTTATCAGGGAACAAGAAAAAACAAAGTCCCTACACTACAAAGCTTATATCCTAGTGAGAGAGACAGGAGAAAAAAGCTGTGAGGGGAACCCAACAGGCAAATTCATTACAGACTGTGATAAAGCTTTAGCAAAAAGAAATTGATGAGCAGAAAGCGGTGGATGTGGCCTCCTTAGACAGGATGGTCTGAGAGGTCCTCCCTGAGATGAGAAGTAGCCAACTGTGAGAAGAGGCTTAGCATGGGACTCCAGACAAAGGGAACAAGTGTGAAGGTTCAGGAGTGGAAAAGGTTGCTACTTTTGATGAACAAAACGGAGCTGAGCTTCCTGGCATGGCTGGACCTCTCCCCCAGCGAGGAGAGAGAAGTATATGAAAGGAGGCTGGACACGCAGGCAGAAGGCAAATTACACAGAGTTCTGCAGGTCAAGGGAAGGATCATTAATAATGTTCTTGAAGATGGGGCTTTTAGCCGAATAGGAAATACAAGCCAGAAGACTTGGGGGTGCCTGCGTGGCTCAGCTGGTTAAGCGTCTGACTCTTGATTTCAGCTCAGGTCTTGATCTCAGGGTTATGGATTCCAGCCCCACGTTGTTAAAAAGAACAAAATAAAAAAAGAATCCATGCTCTAATACAAGTCAGAAGACAGGTCACAGTTAAGACTTAAATCACATATCAGCCATGTGATCACAGGAAAGACACTTCAACACTCTGCCTCAGTCTCTGTATCTGTAAAACATCCACTGGCCTTTAAAGGTTGTTGTAAAGATCAAATTGGATATTATACACAAATATACTTAATAATTTGAAGAGTGTTGTAAAAAAGGAAAGGGTCTTGTCTGGAAGAAAACCATCACCAGTAGACACTTACCTGGCAGAGCAGTGTGCTGGTGAACATCTTCGGTGAGAAGCGTCGGTGAGAACATCCAAGGAGTAAAGAGGAGACAAGGGATTAAACTGCAGGAAAAAATGAGATTATTTTAGAACAGCTTCTATGAAAAGATCTGATCCCAAGGAGCGGCCTATTATTTGATTACTTTGCCCCTTGGACCGTTTGACTCTTCGACCATATGAATGACACCATTCAGTGAAGTTGCAGCCAGGAATATAGCGTACTGATGCCGCACACCTCAAAAAAAAGGCTATTCCCGGGCGCCTGGGTGGCTCAGTGGGGGTTAAGCCTCTGCCTTCGGATCAGGTCGTGGTCTCAGGGTCCTGGGATCAAGCCCTGCATCGGGCTCTCTGCTCAGCAGGGAGCCTGCTTCCCTTCCTCTCTCTCTCTGCCTGCCTCTCTGCCTGCTTGTGAATCTCTGTCTGTCAAATAAATAAATAAAATCTTAAAAAAAAAAAAAGGCTATTCCTTGGTAAGTAACAACTTTGCAAAAAATTCTAATACATGACAATTACTTAAATGGCAGAAGATAGTACTTTCTATTTGATATAACAGGAACTTATGCTATTGACTATTAGCTCTTGTTCCTAAGAAAACTAGCAAGAAGTTACCTTTTTATTTCCTTATCCTGGTCAGCGCATCTAGTAAATAATGGTTGACACATGCCAACAGTCGTTGTTCATAGAAACAGAACTAGATTAAGATCCCTAACATCTGGTTCCGGTCTATCCCTGAGTTGCCATACGTTAAAAGCAACACTTTCTTTGAGCTTTACTATCCTCAACTGTATAACGGATGCACTGCTTATCTTATCTATTTTACAGGACTGTTATGGGGCTAAATTAAATACTGCTTTCAGTTGGGGCGCCTGGGTGGCTCAGTGGGTTAGGGCCTCTGCGTTCGGCTGGGGTCATGATCCCAGGGTCCTGGGATCTAGCCCCGCATCGGGCTCTCTGCTCCACAGGGAGCCTGCTTCCTCCTGCCTCTCTGCCTAGTTGCGATTTCTCTCTGTCAAATAAATATTAAAAAAAAAATACTGCCTTCAGTTTATAATTCCAGTTTCTCTTCTGTAAAACTTCTATTTATCTCAAAAGGTGGTTGTGAGGATCAAACTCGGATACAGTACACAAAAATACCTCGTTTTCTGTTTTCTAGCTTTCTTTGGACTTCTCCCAGAATAATCCTTCCCCCAAATTTCAGAACTAAATATATCTTAAGACTGAAGCTCTGAATGGTAATTTCAAAAGAACTTACAAAGAAATTTAACTTTGGGCAAATTGTTTTACTCTTATTTGTGAGTAACAGATCTGGACTAGGTAATCACCACAGGCCTCCTTATGCCTTTCAATCCTCTGACGCAAACACGATCAGTACCTTGGCTTCCTGTCTTTCACGTACCACCTTAATCACTTTGTACCTGCCACCATCTGCACTATATTTACTCCATATTTTTCTTCATACCAATTATTTTTACTCAACCTTGTCCTTACTATTTCTATGGAACGATATTTTTTCTAATACATATTATGACTTAAAGTAATAATCGTATGTCCACACACCATCTAAAATCATAAGTACACACCAGTTAGGTATACTCTAACTCTATGCTCTAGTTCATTCTGAAATAGTAACTTCAAGAGGAAGGTTCCAAGTCTAAGCTGTACATCAATTTAATAAGCCCTAAAGAGTCTAACACAAAACAAAAACCGGTAAGCAACAGGAAACCTGGTATTTCCACCTATCGGTCTTCACCTGTTTTGTACCTAATTGAGATAAAGCAACCTCCATCCCCACAAAAATCGAAAGCTTCAAACATTAAAGGAACATACTGTTGCAGCAGCTCTTTCTGCCCATGGGTCCTGTCCCTGTGCTTTAATAAACCACCATTTTGCACCAAAGATCTCAAGAATTCTTTCTTGGTCGTCGGCTCCGGACTGCACCCCACTGACCCTCAATTATATTCTAAAATTTCATCATTCAGCGCCTGAACGTGGGGCTTTGAGTCTTTACATCTGGACGCTGAGCTTCGGTGCAAAATTGGTGAGTACTTTCTCTACTCTTCCTTTACTCTCATTTCAGGGGCTTTTCAAGGAGTGTGGTCTTATTGGAACACTTGCATGTCGACTGCTCAGGCCGTAATCCTCTAGCTCATGGCTGCTCTACAGGGAGAGAAAGCCTACCTTTTGGCTGGAAGTTAGTACCCTGACCAGAATGGTAATAAGACCCAGAAACTTGATGTACTCTTTTTATTCCTTTTCTTTCTTTAAAAAAAAAAAAAAAAAAAAAAGGAACATACTGTTAGCCATAGTCAGTAATTTTTAAATTATGACCCCTTATAAAGGCCTACATTTGCCAAAGGCCCTCTCCAGGGGTAGCCAGACAACAGACTGAGACTAAGTGGGCAAGGTCCTAAGGCCTTGACTCCACTTCACTCCCAGCAGCCCTCCCTCCTTCTGTTTCTTATGTTCAGGTCTCATTGCTGTACTTCTCAGAGTAGGATGCGGGTGCTGAACTAAATCATAGACAAACGAGGTTCACTCTGATTTCTTACTGCAAAGTTCAAAACCAAAATAAAAACGATCCCTATGAAATATGCATTACAAGTAATAAACAGAAAAACACAGTTGAACCTAAAAAGGGGAATTAGCTACAGTTCTTATCAGTGAGTATCAGATAATCTTAAACAGTCCTCTTTAAAAAAAAATCAGAATAACATAGGGAACAGGGACCTTACCTCATGTGCACAAGCAGAAATGTGAGGAAAATCAGAAGCCAATGCTTTATTCTTTCTAAAGGAAAGGAAATCAAATGATAAAATAAAGATGACAAAGAAAAGCGATCTTACCTGATTTCGTTCTCTTTTCCCAGCTGACGGTAACCAGAAACTAAAGAGAGAGAGAGAACAACAGGGAAGAAAACAATAAAAGAAGCAGTTGGAAATTACAGAAGAGCAGAAAAAAAGATGCTGGGGTAACCAAGTGAAGATGAAGAAAGAACTGGGGAAAAGAAGGAACTAGAGGCTAAAAGGAGAGAGATGGTAACTGTATACAAACTTCTTTTGTAAAAAAAAAAAAAATATCTTCAAAACAAAAAGCCTTGTAATGAAATGCAAACCACTGTACTCTCTAAAAACAAACCCGAGATTACAGTGTGACACCAAGAGACTCTCAGCTGTGTGGTAACAACAGGATCCCCAAATTCAACAAGAACATAAAACAAACTCACATCTTGCCTATTTTGTAAATGACAAATTTGGCCAGGCTAATGAGTATAAGATCACAACTAGATACCAACCATGAAGCGTATAGGGGACATCAAACAGCCAATCGTGTTAGGGGACAAGGCTGTCACAAGAAAGGTTGGGGGAATAATTCCTAGAAGAACACAGGTGATAAGTTTCTTGCCATGGGTCTCTTTTGACTTGGGGGGGTGGGAGGTGGGATCTGACTCCAAAGGCAAGGGAAACAAAAATAAAATAAATGGGACAGCAGGGCGCCTGGGTGGCTTAGTGGGTTAAAGCCTCTGCCTTCAGCTGAGGTCATAATCCCAGGGTCCTGGGATCGGGCCCCACATCGGGTCCTCTGCTCGGTGGGGAGTCTGCTTCCTCCTCTCTCTCTGCCTGCCCCTCTGCCTACTTGTGATCTCTCTCTGTCAAATAAATAAATAAAATCTTTTAAAAATAAATAAATAAATAAATAAATGGGACATCAGACTAAAAAGCTTCTATGCAAAGGAAATTATCAATAAACAAAAAGGCAACCTATTGAATGGGAGAAGATATTGCAGATCATATATCAGATAAAGGATCAACATGTAAAATGTATAAAGAACTGGGTGGGAGGCTGGGTGAGCCTGGTGGTGGGTATTGTGGAGGGCACGTATTGCATGGAGCACTGGGTGTGGTGCATAAACAATAAATTCTGGAACACTGAAAAGAAATTTAAAAAATAAATAAAAATTTTAAAAAAAATAAAATATATAAAGAACTCATATAACTCAACAACAACAAAAACCCAAACAATCCAATTAAAAAATGGGCAGAGGGCGTGGAAGACATTTCCCCAAAGCATACAAGCCCACAGGCACATGAAAAGATGCCCAATACCACTAATTATCAGAGAAATGAAAATCAAAATCACAATGAGATATCACCTCACACCTGTCAGAATAGCTATTAACAACAAAACAAGATATAACAAGTGTTGGTGAGGACAAAAAGAAAAGGGAATCTTAGTACACTGTTGGTGGGAATGCAAACTAGTGCAGCCACTCTGGAAAACAGTATGGAGATTCCTTGAAAAACTAAAAATAGATCTATCATATGATCCAGCTATACCACATCTGCATATTTATCCAAGGAATATGAAAACACCAATTTGAAAAGATACATCCACCTCTACGTTCACTGAAGCATTACTTAAAATGGCCAAGATGTGGAAACAATCTAAGATTCCATCAACAGATAAAGAACATGTGTATACATCATACACATACACACAACGGGATACTACTCCACCATAAAAGAGAAGGGATCTTGCCATGTGTGACATGAATGAACCATGAGGGATTAGTTTAAATGAGTAAGTCAGAAAGAGAAGACAACTACCGTATGACATGATTTATATGAGGAATCTAAACAAAAACAGTAACAACAAACAAACGAAAGAATAAAACAAAACAAAACTCATAGATACAGAGAACGGATTTGTTGTTCCCGAGGAGAAGGGGATGACGGGCGGGTGAAAGGGCTCCATTTCAAGCTGATGTATGGTACCTAGATTTATGGTGATGATCACTTTGTAGTGGATACAAATACTGAATTACGATGTTGTATACCTGAAACTTACTTAATGTTATACATCAATCAATCAATATAAATAAATAAATAGTAAGAGCACAACTGGAGGTTACTTTTATAATGCAGCATCTATATACACAAACAGCAAAGAAATAAAAACTAGTCTAGAAGGAAAAAAAATCACTGTCTTGAGTTTAGGGCATTAGCCATGTTAACTGTTGTAAAGTACAAATCTTTAAGATCCTCTCATTCAGCTGTAAAGTCAGATTTCTAGGTTCCTTTCACAAAACCTCCCTCTGTCTCCTACTCCAACGAATGGGCTAGGATAATGAGTAAATTATAGAAGCACTTACTCCTTCTGCCGAGGGTCACTAATGATGTGGCCTATTCTCTCAGAACTTATGCTGGTCTCCTGCAAAGGCAAGGAAGACAAGAGTGTCATCTAACCACAGAAACAAATAAAGTATGATCTGTCATCAAGTTCACACTTTCCAATAACTGTGCCAGCAACCTCAAAGGCACATGTCAAATGTCAATCTTAAAATCCAATAGCAAGTTTATTTCTTTTTATGGAAATTTATCTTGAAAGTGTTATATTATTCTAGACTTATTTTTCTCTAGTGTTCCAAAAAAGTCATTATAAACCTTGTTTACTATAGATAGCATTTTAATAGTGAGTTATTAAAGTATACAGAAATAGAAACAATTTTTAAAAAATCCAACAGCAGCTGATTTTTAATGGGCTACACACCAAGTTCCCCAGCTCAGACACAGCCCCTTCATAATGGGAAATTCACCCCATCCTCACTGGGAACACCTAAAATCTGCTGACTAAATGTACACGTATTAAAGGAATTTTGCTAACTTACAAAAACTGTTACCCTGTCTTGTCTGTTAAGCATCATCTCTTAAAGTAAAACAGAAATTTGTAAAAACTGGTTCTTAAATTTAGGGTTCTTAAGACTGTAATATGAAATCTTATCCATAATACCACCAGAAACTAATAATCTCCAAAAAAACTGAAAAATGGCACAAGGCACTCACCACCCTTCACTTCACTTGAATATATTTACAATGACTGTCTATCACAGGACCTGGGGAAGCACACCGATAGCACACGAGTAAGAGTCATGCACACACGAGTAAGTGCTAAGATAGAGCGTGTAAGTCACAGGCATGAATGTCAAGTACGTGAAGCCTGTTACTCAAACACATTTGTTACTGGGCAAATATGATCAGTGTTCATGTATGTGTGTGGATTAGCTTAGAATATTAGGGTATACATTTTCGCAGTACTGACCATAGGAAAATTAATTTGAAGTCAGATTCTGGGCGGGAGTGGAGCTAAACGAAAAGGTTTCACAGACTGTATTCTTCACATTCTTCATCCCTTATGCACATGCCTCCTGGTCACAGACACAGCCATAGTAGTGGGGCCAAGGGAAAGGATGGGTGAAAAATGAGCTATTTGTTACTGCAGAAAAATTATTAACTTAAAGTGCCGTAATGTTTAAATTTACAGTTTATTACTGTGTAAATTACAAGCAGTACTTTGCGTAATTAGCAGCTCGCTGGCAGGGAGCTGTGAATGAAACTCATTATTTATGATTACAATTTAGAGAAAGAGAAGAGAGGTGGGGGAGGGGGAAGAAGGGGGGCAGAACACTGACCTCTGCTAGAAATGACAAATATCCCTTTAAGGTGATGAAGATGAATTAAACAAGTAAATATTATCCCATTCATTTGAAATTCTTAGAGGCATACCCAATAGGCCCTAGAATTTCCTTCCAGGCAAGCTAAAGGGAGCCTTCAAGACAAACTGATTTACTTCCATGGAAGTGGAAGGCTCTTATTTTATAGGAGCTGAAACAAAGTAAGGTAGATAGTAGGTAGAACATTATCTTTCAAGGCCAACTGATAAAGGAAAAAGTAAAACCATCTCTCTGTTCCCTACTCCCAACCTCCTGCCTGCCTCTACCTATTAGCTGTCCTGTTAACTAAGAATAAGCTCTCAGAACAGTGAAAGCAGCATTTGAATGTCTGTGAAATCAATGAGCCAAAAGAAGAAGGTATCATTCTTTCAATAATCAAATGTCTTTCCAATTAAGAGATTTGAAATTGAATTTAAAGATTAAAAATATCTGACTTTGGGGTGCCTGGGTGGCTCAGTGGGTTAAAGCCTCTGCTTTCGGCTCAGGTCATGATCCTAGGGTCCTGGGATCAAGCCCCGCATCAGGCTCTCTGCTCAGTGGGGAGCCTGCCTTCTCTTCTCTCTCTCTCTGCCTGCCTCTCTGCCTGTCAAATAAATAAATAAAATCTTAAAAAAAAAAAATCTGAGTTCACCTGGAAATAAATAGCTTTTTACATAGCAAAAATTTCAGAAAACGGTTCCCTAATTAAACTATAAAAACACCTGAGGGTAGCCAGGCTGTGGCTGTGATCACTGTGTACCTGGCCTGGCACAGAGCCTGACACATAATAGGCATTCTAAATGTTTATGCATTAACGCTCTGAAATGCCTCTCACTCCCTTGCCCTTTGCCCACGACCATCCTCTCTAGGTATGAGCCCCAGTCTTCACCTACCTTCAATCTCAAAGCTACAGTAAAAAATTAATTAAAATAATTTTTACGGGTACCTGGGTGAATCAGTCAGTTAAGTGCCTGCCTTTGGCCCAGGTCGTGATCCCAGAGTCCTGGGATAAAACAGTTTCCTGTTCAGTGGGAGTCTGCTTATCCCTTTCCCTTTACCCCTCCCCCTACTTGTGTGCCCTCTCTCTAATTAATAAATACTTCTTAAAAAAATAATAACTTTTAAATTTTAAATTAGAAAAGATAAAAGAGAAACACAGCTGGGTTCAATTCTCTCTTCTGCCACAGCTTCCTGGGGAATAGCAGACATTACCTAGTTTCTCTGAACCCAAGTTTTCCTCATCTGCTAAGTGGGAACATCACCTATATGGTTGTTAAGAGGATTAAATGAATTGAGTGCCCAGTACAGTCCCCAGCAAAGGGGGAAGTGAATAAATGGTAGATATTCCTTCCATGTAGCCAAGGAGAAGCTTTCGAAATCTGGTAACAGGTTTTCTTTCCAGTTTTGGGTTTTGTTTTTTTTTTTTTAATGAATTCTGGAATAAAAGACCAAAGTTAGGACAGAAGAAGCATTTATGAATTCAGGAGGAGTTATAAAGAAGCCAAGAGTATTTTAACTTCTACAATAAAAATATAAGATTAATCAAAAGAATAGAAGACACTAGAGCAGGCCTACAGATTACAGACAAACTGTCATAATAGTACTTGCGCTTTGTCAAAACTTCTGTATGAGTTAAGCTTCATCTTTTGTGTATCCATTTATATCCTACATTAAGGTTCGCTCTTGTGAACTTGCAGAACATTTCAATTGGCTTAATTTACTCCAAGAAGTTCTGCAGCACCTCGGATTATTGAAAACAGTACACAAATCCCATAGGAAATACTGTCCTCCAGTCTCCCAGTGAGCCCAGTAGACATGGAGAGCGGTCACCTTCCCAACAAGCCTTCTTCGGCCCTTCCTGAGGCATCGAGCTGCAGCTCCAGGCAGACGATTCAAGCGTGCATGGTACCCTAAAAAAAAGAAGAAAGCCCTCAGAAACAGAATGCAGAAGATTCATTACCAATGATATGCTTCTAGTACACCCAAAGGCCTTCCTCCCCAGGACCTTACTAGAATGACCCTTAAACTAGTATCATTAGTCTATATGCCAAGGATTTATTATTCTTACGTCTTTGCGGTATGATCTTAGGTGTGTCTTTACCTCTGACCTAGGGATCCTCACCTAGAAAGGAGGGATAATCACTCACTCAGTCCTAGCATACAGGGCTGATGGGAAGACTCAATTAAATAACACAGGGAAGGTATTTTATAAATTGAAAACAGTACACAAATAAAAGGTGTTATCAACAATTTCTAATAATAAATTAAATCCTAGTTATTATCTCAAAAACACTGAAGTCATGAAATAATAGTAAAAATAGCCTGTATAAGTGTATAGCCATTTATACATTTATATACAAAATATATACATAATATACATAAAAATGTATAGCCATTTTTCTAATTGCTGTATGTGTTCTATACATTAAAAACACAACTGGAAAAATCCACACCCAAGTCTTATCGATGACACTGTCTCTGGGTATAGAATAATGGGCCATTTTAAGGTGTCCTTCCTGTTCTCATTTGTGTGCATTTTAAGTGGTCCATAACGAATTTTCAGAAATGGTCACTGAAATGTTTGACGCAAGTTATTAAGGTAGCAACACGTGCCTCAGCCAGGCAATAATCTCTACCAAGAGCCAAATGTTTTCAGAAGGACTTTCAGTCACGTAAATTCATCATTGGAAAACGCTATAGGAGTTTATCGCTTGGGCATAATTCTGATCACCAAAAGATGCCCAACAAACACATGATCACTGACTGACTCATGACTGATGACTGGGCACCCCAGAATCATCAGTTGACAGAGCTAAAAGAAACCTCTGAAACAGTCTTCTCAAAGCCACAATTATTTTAAGTGCCAACCCCCATCTCCCAAGGCAATGAAGTGACTCTGTCAGAGTCACAGAGCTAGAAGACAGTACCTGAGAGTATTAGCACCCTGTTCCTTCCTCCTGTCCTAGGCGCTTTCCACTCTACTTTGCTACATCGTAAGTAAAGGAAAAGCAAAAGGAAAGGATGTATTTGTGTTTAAGTCCACAATAATAGAATAAAATCAAATTATTTAAGGAAATATTTTAAAATCATCCAATTAAAAAAATGTCATTATACCTTGTATGTGAATGTTCTTACTGAAATCTGTTCTCTTCCAAGATCCAATACTTCAGGCTCCCACTGAGCACTCCATAGCCCATCGGTTTCACAGCAGGTAAGCAGCAGTGACACGCTGCTAGGCTTCCTAAATCTGGCACAAATGGCAATAGCAAGCTGAAGGAATGCCCTGCTAATAGGTATCCCAAGAGTCTCCATGGGTTGATTTAGGTATGAATGGAGAACCTCAAGCTTTGAGACTCACCCTTGAATCTTCTAGGAAAATCCCTGGAGTAGCTCCAAATTTCAGAGAGTTAATGCATACTTAGAGGGATGAGTATACTGGCCATGGGATGATTCTCCCCAAAGAGAACCATAAAAGTTGTGAAGTATATTTTGGTCTCCTCAGAACTTACCTCTTTGAGCTGGTCGAGAAGGTAAAAGGAATGTGGAATCGGAAAGTTTATCCAGTCCAGAATCCATTCTTTCTACTTCAGGGCAATGATCAGGAGCCCACTTTGGCAGAAGATTAGGGACAGTGAATCCTGGGACACATTCTCCCTCATAGAACCAATCGCTCTGCTCATCATCTCCTAAAATAAAGAAATCATATCATAAGCTGGAATTTTAACATGCTCTATGGAAAAGTAAATGGGAAGATGATTTCTCAGAGCAATGGATTTTATTATACTTTTTAAATAAAGTCGAAGTACAAAAAAATTTGTTTTGATCCTTCTTCTTGACCTATATTATGATGAAAACTAGAGTATCAAACTAGTTTCACAAAAATGTCATACTGTGTTATACTGGACTTCTTTTTAGAGTAAAAAACTAATAGAGCTACCATTTACTAAACCCTTACCACCTATGAGGGTCCATGCTAAAAATCTCTTAAGTATGTTATCTCTTCTAAACCCTACCCTAATTCCAACTTATAAATGAGGCCAACTAAAGCCCAGAGCAGGCAAGACCAAGTTAGTGAATGATGAAGGCAAGATCTGAACCCGAAGTCTAACTCCAAAGCCTTTAACACAAAAATAAGTTGCCTCTTATGTAGCATTCTGTGGTATAAATGGACCTGGGGGTTCAAAGCCCACAAATGTCTTTCAATTCAAAACTAGCTATTCATGGGCGCCTGGGTGGCTCAGTGGGTTGAGCCGCTGCCTTCGGCTCAGGTCATGATCTCAGGGTCCTGGGATCGAGTCCCGCATCGGGCTCTCTGCTCGGCGGGGAGCTTGCTTCCCTCTCTCTCTGCCTGCCTCTCTGCCTACTTGTGATCTCTGTCTGTCAAATAAATAAATAAAATCTTTAAAAAACAAAACAAAACAAAAAAAAAACTAGCTATTCCTCAGGATGTTTTATTTGTATTTGTTATAACGGGTGAATAAAAAATGCATACCCATATCTCAATTCCTACCACATTAACGGGACAGAAAAATCATCTTGACACTAGCAATCCAAGCAACCAGGAAAAAACTAACCACAAGGAGAAGCAATATAATCCCTTAAGGCTTGTCATGAAGTTACACCAGTCACCCAAGGCCAGACTCTTCACCAATGACAAAATCAAGAAGAGATCCATAGAGTCAGACTCTTGGTTCAAACCTTTCTCTACTGGCTAGGATGACAGCTTCTCAGTTTGCAACAGAACTTGCTCCCACCCACAAAAAGTAGTAAGACAGATAACTTTAGGTCTGCCACTCCATACGCCTTTCAAAATAGCAAGGATGAAGGGAATTACTACAAGAACATCTAAATAATTCACAGTGCATTCATTCTCTAATGTATGCCAGATCCCAGGGAAAGCTGGTCAGGCCATGGTTAGGGCACGAAGTATCAGATTTATGAGCCTCTAACACAGGCCAGGATAATGATAACTCTTAACCCACCTTGAAGATCTCTAAAAGGGAAAAGGAAAATGTCCATTAAAAAGTTACTCGAAGGGCGCCTGGGTGGCTCAGTGGGTTAAGCCGCTGCCTTCGGCTCAGGTCATGATCTCAGGGTCCTGGGATCGAGTCCCGCATCGGGCTCTCTGCTCAGCAGGGAGCCTGCTTCCCTCTCTCTCTCTCTCTCTGCCTGCCTCTCTGTCTACTTGTGATCTCTCTCTGTCAAATAAATAAATAAAATCTTTAAAAAAAAAAAAAAGTTACTCAAAGTGTTCCCTTATAAAAACACACCACCAACAACTACTTCTCTAGACCAGTGGTTCTCAAACTTCAATTGCATCAAAGGAAGCAGAAAGGGTTGTCAGAACACAGGCTGCTGGGCCCTACTCCCAAAGTTTCTGATTCTGGTCTAGAAAGGATCAAAAATTGAATTTCTAACCAGTTCCCTAGTGATGCAAAGCTGACTTCAGTACCATATTTTGAGAATCACTACTTTGAAAGCATCTCACCAAGCCATGTACACAAGATGAACTACAGATAGGCTTTAGAATTAACAATGAGGGGCGCCTGGGTGGCTCAATTGTTAAGCGACTGCCTTTGGCTCAAGTCATCATCCCAGGATCCGGGGATCGAGCCCAGCACTGGGTTCCCTGCTCAGCGGGAAGCCTGCTTCTCCCTCTCCCACTCCCCCTGCTTGTGTTCCCTCTCTCGCTGTCTCTTCTCTCTCTCTGTCAAATAAATAGAATCTTAAAAAAAAAAAAAAGCAATTAACAATGATTAGTTTCTCTGCATGTCAATATATTAATTCCTTTCTTATTCACAAGCATTCCTTAGGCCATTTATTAAAACAGTATAGTTAGTTAGACCATACTTCCTGAAGACAAATGGTATCCCATAATGGCATTTTTTTGTTGTTGTTCTTAAGCATTCACTCAAGATTTTTGACAATATAAAAAGGGACTCACTGAACTGGAGAAAACCTTGTGAAGTCATCTAGACCAGTAGTCCCCAACCCTGGGCTCACCAGGATGCATGATGTAGCAGCTCCCCTAAAAGACTACTGCCAGAGAATAAGGAAGAAGCTGATGGGTCAGACTCCAGACTTCCTGCTCCTCCTGCTTTTTCCAAAATAGGTTTAGCTGTTTCATCATCTGAGGTTCTATGTCTAATTCTGTTTGAGGGAGAAAAAGGAGAATTTTCCCCTTATCTGGCTTTCCCAGTAAGTAATTATTAAGAGCTTACTATATGCCAGGCAATATGTTACCCACTGTAGCTCCAAATAGTTAAAAAAAAAAAAAAAAAAAAATTCCTGCCTTGGAAGACTTCAGTGGAAAAGACACACATCTACAAATAATAACATCATGGTAAGTGATAACAAAGCAGTAAGTTCAGGCAAAGAGTAGGGGTTCTAGAAGAGGAGACCTGCACTGAGTGTGTATCAGTCGGAATCTTCAGGAAATGCACGCACATTTAAATGGGATAATCGAGGGGGGCCTGGGTGGCTCAGTGGGTTAAAGCCTCTGCCTCAGCTCAGGTCGTGATCCCAGGGTCCTGGGATCGATCCCCACATCGGGCTCTCTGCTCGGTGGGGAGCCTGCTTCCTCCTCTCTCTCTCTGCCTGCCTCTCTGCCTACCTGTGATCTCTCTCTGTCAAATAAATAAATACGATCTTTAAAAAAAAAAAATGACTTTAATGAAGTGACTATTTACGAAAGTGTATACAGTATTAAGAGGAACCAATAAGAGACAGTGAAGCACCTGGGAGCCAGCACAGTGGGGAACCTTTACCCTTCCTAAACCTGCAGCAGCAAGGAGAAAGAATGGTTATCAGAGACCAGAGAGAACATTGAGGTTATAGAAGACTGCCCAATAGAAAGGGAGCCAGGGAAAACTACAATCCAACTCAGTAGATTGCATTATTGTTGCCAACTCTTCACTACCTCCCTATGATAATACATCCATGCCTTTTGTCCTTTATCATGGAATTCCAGAGCCTTCCCCTTGAGGCAGAGCATACTTCCTCATCCCACTGATAACTGGTTTGTCAAGTAACAAGCTTTTAGGTAGTAGAACATTAGAAGATGTGACCCGGGGCACCTGGGTGGCTCAGTGGGTTGAGCTGCCTTCGACTCAGGTCATGATCTCAGGGTCCTGGGATTGAGCCCTACATCGGGCTCTCTGCTCAGTGGGGAGCCTGCTTCCTCCTCTCCTCTCTGCCTGCCTCTCTGCCTACTTGTGATCTCTATGTGTCAAATAAATAAATAAAATCTCTAAAATACATAAAAAAATAAAAAATAAATAAAAGATGTGACCCAAGCACAAGCTTTAAATAAATATGTATGCTCTGGTTTGGTCACTTAGCATTCACGTTTGCCAGCATGAGAAGTCCATGCCACACACTGCCTCCAGGGGAAAGGTCCCAGGATAAGAAACACTAAGTAGATACAAATATAGTTTAAATCCTGGAGACCAGCTGAGTTCAAGTTGGGCCAGCTGACGCACAGCCAACCCCTAGCCCCACAGCAAGAAATAAATGCGGTACACCACCACTGAAATTCTGGGGCTGTTAAACACTATTATCATGATAAAAACTTGCCTAATACACTCAATTATCCGCCTCCCTGCCTCCCTCCATCCCTCCCTCCCTCCATTCCTCTGCTAATGGCTCCTATTGCCCAAACCCAATAAGAAAATGAGAGCAAAAAGCCCCACCGATGCAGTCCATAAATATGCCCTGGAGGGAGAAAACGAAAACCGTGTCTCGGTGGATGAGCAACCATTCAAGAAAAGGTAAAGATGAGATTCCTGACAAAGACACCAGCGTAAACAAAGGCATGGAAGCACGAAATAAATAGCTTTGTGCTGAGAACTCCAAGCATCTAAGTATCATCAGAACCTGTGAAGTTGAAACAGAGAGGAAAGCTGGGGCTCTAGAATAACCTAAAATCTTCCATCAGAAACCGAGGATTCCTTACCAGTAGAAAGGTTTTCCAAAGGCCCAACACATAACCTGTCATAAAAAGGTCCACGCTTTCTTAAACTTCTGGATAATTATACATCATAATCTTCAAGAGACAAATTTTGAGTGGCGCCTGGGTGTCTCAGTTGGTTAAATATCTGCCTTCCACTCAGGTCATGATCCCCAGGGTCTGGGATGGAGCCCTGCGTCAAGCTCCCTGCTCAGGGGGGAGCCTGCTTTTCCCCTTCCTCCCTGCTCATGGCTCCTACTCTCTCGCTATCTCTGTCTCTCCTTCAAATAAATAAATAAATAAAAGAGAGACATTATACTTCACAGAGCAGTATAAAAGCAAAGAAAAAGCAGCATTTGTAATTCTGAATAGTATGCACTAATTCATTCATGGAAAGACAACCAGACTTCCTGGTATGAAACAAAAGAATCAAGACCTGAGCCACACCCCACCTGGGAGTACACACACACAGCCTCTAATGACATGGCTCCCTCAGAATCAGAAAGAGATAGAAAAGTACTCACAATAACCTCCATTATAGTAGGAAGCTCAGCAACTCCGTCCATGCCCATGACTCTTGAGGCACGAGTGAGATACCCGCCCTCATGATCTCTCTCCAAAATCAGAACTTGGATCCTGAGTGTTACAGTCCCAGGATTCCTTCAGTTACTAGGGAGCCTATCTGGAACAACCTGGACATGTAGTCATTGTGCTTCTGTTTTCAATCATTAAAGAAAAATCACTGGATCTCAGAGCTAAAAGGGACTTTAGACATCTATGAATCCCTTATTTAGATTAACAGAAACACAATCCAAAGGAGCTACATGAAATTATCATTGGTACACAATTAGCATAGTCCTAAGCAAATGCAGAGGATAAAACACAGTTTCAAATTACTGTGTAGGCTGTAAAGATAAGGGACTGGTAATTAACATACACCAGCCCTATTCACAGTGTTCTATGCTAAACTTAAGGAGTTTTAACATTAGAAAGAAGATGTGTTTTATAATATATTCATCTAGAACACTATGTTCATTTATAAATAAGGTTATAAAAATAAATTCTTTTATAAAAATAAGAATGTCTTAATAGCCAATAAAAGAGTACAATACAGAAGGATATTTTTTGGTTCTAATAAAATTAGCAACTTCCCAGAGTCCCATCCTTGACACTATATTCCCCTAATTAATGATTCTCAAAGTCTGAACTACCTGCATAAAAATCACTGCAGGTACTTAGAAAAATTCAGATTCTAGGGGCCAACTCCAGACCTATCTGATTTCTAGGAACTCAGGAATTTTAACAGGTGGCCTTTAAATGCTCTAAAGTTTGAGAACCACTGCCATAGACAACCACCATATTCTCAGTGAGTCACTCATCTAAGCATTACAATCTCCCCAGAAATACTGAACCAACATCCCAAAGCTAGGATCAAGATTACCTTGCCGTCCTTCATCGTTGGTAAACAGCCCTGTGTCACTGCTGCTACACACACTGCTGGTTTCACTGGAAAAAAAGAGTCAAACACAAGAGAACACATCAGCTCCTGTGAAAAACAAAGCAGTGCCCATTCTGGTTGTCAAATCTAACACTCCAAGTTTCCGTGATTTTACTCCAGTTCATTAGCCAATCACAAATGCAAATTTCGTAATTAAGCCACAGAAGGGAGCTTATTTTTCTGTAAAACAAATAAAAGGAAAACTCTATAACTTTTGCTTATTATTTCAAAGTACTTTATAAACATCTAAAGTCATTTTGTTAGGTTAGCATTAGAAAGTTATGTATTACGGTTCATAGACGTAATCTCAACCTGGCTAGGTATATCAAACAATACAAAGCTATCAACCCATTTTGTTTATAAATCCTGTCAACTATCAGTTTCAAATGAAGCTATCCAACTTTAAGACATCTAACATCTATCATGTTTTTCTCCCCATTTACACAGCAACTAACAAAAATCCATGAACAAGAAGAAAGTCAGTATGACCAAAGTTATGTTTTCTGGGTTTAATGTCTTCCTGATATGAAGTGGGTACAACAAAACTCATTTTCAAAACAGAAGGTTAAAAATAAAAATACAGGAGCGCATGGGTGGCTCAGTCGTTAAGCTGCTGCCTTTGGCTCAGGTCATGATCCCAGAGTCCTGGGATGGAGCCCTGCAACGGGATCCCTGCTCTGTGGGAAGCCTGCTTCTCTCTCTCCCCCTCCCTCTGCTTGTGTTCCCTCTCTTGCTGTGTCTCTGTCAAATAAATAAATAAAATCTTTAAAAAAATAAAAATATAAATATAAAAACAAACTCCATTTGAACCCACTGAAATAAAACTTTTGCCCTATAGAATTCTGTACAATTGGTTTCATTTCCTGAGCCATCACTAACAGCTGATTCTTGCCCCTTCTTTTGCCTAATCATCATTAAATTTGATCGATCTGGTTCAAGAAAAATTACTCTATTCTTTACATTATGAGCTGTTTTCTTGAGTGGGAGTGTTTCCTTCCAAGCTAGCCAATTTTTTTCACCTACTCTACAAGATGGAAGAAACCAAAGCAAGGAAGGAACATTCTCATCATATGGCATAAGGAATAGGCTTGGCAAAATCCCAGTCTACATTTCTGGATCAAAAATCTGAAAATATTTTGTATTTTGCAACATTTCCAAATATCTTGCCAAAACTAAATCCTTAAAATCCTGATTAAATTAAGTAGTAATGCTTTCCTCACTTAAGTTTATCTCTGAATAGATCCAAGAAATTTGCTGTAGCAAGAGCCAATAAAACATACTCAATTTCTTTAAAGGCTCTTTCGTTTTATTTTCTTCTGTACTTGTAGGTGGGAACTTCCTCAGGTGTCATTCTAAGAAATGGCTCACAAAACTATATGACTGGATTCTGATGGATTTCGAATCTTCAAAGAGCTCTGTAGTTAAATCCAGAAGATATGCCCTCTGAGTTCTGTACTCTTCCTACTTCTGAGTTCAAGGAACTGTGCCTGCTGAACGTAATGGTGTTATTTTTGTGCTTCTAGCAAATTCCTAAGAGTATCAGTGGTCTAACTCCCTTGAGTCCTACTCACATTCTCTCATATTACTACTTTTTTATCCTCATCTGGCCTCAAAGATAAAGCAAATTTGACATTTTTTAACTCCTCTTGAAAGTAGGGTTTAAAAAGCACGTTAGGCAATGGAACAGATACTCTAGCCCACCATCATGTCATGTACTTTACTAGTTAGCAGTATGACTAACCGAGATTTAGGGACCAGCAAACAGCCTCCACCTATTTTTGCATGAGCTGTGAGCTAAGAATGATTTTTAGAGTTTAAACGATTGGGGATTTAAAAAAAATCAAAAATCATTTTGTGACATGTGGGAATGGTATGAAATTCAAATTTCAGTGTCCATAAATAAAGTTTTATTGGAACACGGCCAGTTATTCATTTACATATCATCGATGGCTGTTTTCACACTACAACTACAAAGTTCAGTAGCTCCAACACAGAACATATCGCACACAAATCCCTAAAATATTTACTATCTGGTTCTCTACAGAGAAAGTTTGCTGATCCCTGCTCTACACATATTACAAATTCTACTCTTGAGTAGTTAGAATTAAAAAATTAAAACCGTTTTGCTTGATCACAAAATCTATCAGTTCTTTTCCCCATTCATTTCTAGCCACCTATATGTCCTACAAGATAATATTTCCTTGATCCTTTTCTGCATGGATTCCACTCTCTTGTTATTCTAAACAAAGGGACAAGCTCAAAGAAACCCGCTCGATCAAGAAAGGTGCTAGTGACCTAAAGCCTTTCTGTCGACTGCACATTTCCTATTTCTGTCAACAGCATTTAAGAAGACTCACTGTTTTTGAAAAAGCCTGGACTAACCTTGTCTAAGCTTTCCCACTTATAGTTAATTAGAGGAAAGGCAATGATGTCACAGAAATATCACCAGAATTTTAAGACTACGATCAAGGGAGACGGGTATTTTCTTCATAAAGAAACTAATTTGTCATGAAGAATGCTTATTACACAAAAGAATCACCAGTCTACTGACATCTGGAAAGGACTACTTCACAAATAGCATCCGCCAATTCTATTTGTTCTCTCAGAAGGACTTGCGTTGTGGAAATCTAATCATATTTAAGGAACTCTTAGCGTAATTTGATGAAAACAAAAGTCGAAACGTTGTGGTATGTCTGCACATAAACATTACGATACAGCAAGCAAAAATGTAGTGTTAGCCAGAAAGCAGAAGCAAGTATCTCCCCTTCCAAGATACAGGCCAACGCTGTCCAGTCCTGCAGACTTTATTCACTTCTGGCTCAGAGATCATGACTTCTTTGAAAAAAAAAAATAAGATTCATGGGACTTTAATGACGATCTGGTCAACTATAAATGTTAAGTTAGCTAATAAAGCATAATGTTTAATATTTTATTAAAACTAAGCTCCCTTCTTTCAATAAACACGAGTTTCTTTTTGCACCTTTGTAGTTCACAAGGTCAAAAAATAAAAGATGTCAGGATCCTACATTTTCCTATTCCAAAACCTTCAAATTTGTTTGTAACTTTTTTGTTATGAGCATTTTTACGAGGCAAGAAAAAAAAAGCTCTGCTCCTCATTTTTGTAAGAAAAAAGTATGATCCTACCTTTAGGGTCTACTCTACTGGTGGTACGCTGAGGCTTAGTGAGAAGACAGAAACTCAGCCTTTATTAATCTTCAGAAAAAGTAACTAGACAAAACCCACAAAGATAGCAGGTGTGAAATCTTGTCTTTTCCTAAAATGGTAGCAACTCATGGAGGCATCAATGCCTCCTGCCTTTGCCTTGGGAGCTGTTCTGTACTCCCTGTTCTCACATGATTCTAAATATAAAAGTTTGCATATAAAAAAAAATCTTCCTAGAATATCTCTAAAATTTCTAAAAATGTATTAACCCTGCAAACAATTTACACATCATTCAAAAAACTCAATCCTAAATTGGGGCAATAAGAAGTTTCTCACAGAAAAAGGAGGAAGAACCCCCATCTCCATTTCTCCTAAGCCTTCATTCATACACTCGGTAAGCATTTATTATTTACCATACAGCAGAAACTGCTCTACCCAGTACTAAAACTAACAAAGAAACATGTCAGTAACAACATACAGGTGTACATTTTATTAAAAACCAAGTCCAGGGGCGACTGGGTGGCTCAGCGGTTGAGTGTCTGCCTTTGGCTCAGGTCGTGATCCCAGGGTTCTGGGATCGAGACCCGCATCTGGCCCCCTGCTTGGCGGAGAGCCTGCTTCTCCCTCTCCTGCTCCTCCTGCTTGTGTTCCCTCTCTCACTGTATCTCTCTCTGTCAAATAAATACATAAAATCTTTAAAAAAAAGTTTTTTAATTAAAAATTAAATAAATAAAACCTAGTCCAGACTACGGAGGAGGCTGTGAAAACAGAGAAAGAAGAATGCTTTCCAGTGAATAATACTCTGCAAATAAGGGGTTGGGCAAGCCTACAATTTAACCTTAATGATACTGAGGCAACCAACCCATTTCAGAAGCCAGAAAACACCTCAAAAGCACTCTTCTGTGAGTAAAAGTAGTAATAATATATTACACTTCTGTATAGTGGTCTTCACTAAAAAATGTTCCCACAATTAATTCAGTAGCATAGCCACCATTTTAAATAAGAAACAAATAAAATTAAAGCCTGGGTTTTAGACCACCAATTGTGTTACCTAATTATTATAATATTGTCAGAAAAGCAACCAAACCACATCCAAATGAAATAACGGACGTGTAAAGAAAATCACCCTAACCTGCGGTTCCAGAGGCTTTCCTCTGCCAACATTTTATAACGAAAATTTCTGAACAGATGAGAAAGTTGAAAGAAGTTCCAGTTACCACTCACACCCCATCACATCTACTGTACATCACACACTGCAATTAACATTTTGCTTTTTCTGTTTTATCACACGTCTATGTATCTAACCTTCCCACCCCAGCATCTTTGTAATTCAACGCACTCTTGGTAGACCAGATGATTGGGCATGGCATCCACTCTCAGAGAAGTAGATTATCAAGGAATCAAGCTTAATAAAACACTACTGATACCTCTCATCAACTTGAAGAATTAATTCCAGGGTGAACACTCAGCTAAACACTGTACACCTTGGTATGAACGTTAAAATGTTTTCCAAGTTCTGAAAATGAAGTGCCTGCCCTGTTAAAGGGTATTTTTTCAAGTTAGCAAAAAAGCTTAGTTAAAAAGTTTCTAAAACTACAGTGTTTTTATTCTACAGAAGAGATCAGTGTTTTGGTCTTACTAAGTTCTCTAAATCTGAAATTCATGCTTGTTGGTAAAAGCAAAGTCAATGAAGTGAAACCCCATCTCAGCACCTAGAAACACCAGCAGTAACTTTTTTTTTTTTAAAGATTTTATTTATTTATTTGACAGACAGAGATCACAGGTAGGCAGAGAGGCAGGCAGAGAGAGGAAGGGAAGCAGGCTCCCTGCCGAGCAGAGAGCCCGA